CGGGAGGAGGAAGGATGCTGAGCAGGGAGGCTGCCCTTCATGTTGCTATGGATTACGGGATGAGGAAGGATGCTGAGCAGGGAGGCTGCCCTTCATGTTGCTATGGGTGACGGGATGAGGAAGGATGCTGAGCAGGGAGGCTGCCCTTCATGTTGCTATGGGTGACGGGATGAGGAAGGATGCTGAGCAGGGAGGCTGCCCTTCATGTTGCTATGGGTGACGGGATAAGGAAGGATGCTGAGCAGGGATGCTGAGCATCATAGCTGCGCTGCAGGCTTTGCGATTCTTACGTACCTACATGCACCTGGTTAGCATCGCTCGGTGCGTCTCCCAGCATCCGATCACGAAAATCCAACGCTGCGTGCGTGAGAGACGTGACAAGTGACGGTTAGTAATTAGCAGTTAGTAATTAGCATGTTAGTAATTAGCATGTTAGTAGTACAAGCAGCACGAGAGACGACAAGCGACACACCAGTGGTGCCCCTAACACCCCAGACAGCTCAGATGAGACTCAGTGGGTGTGACACTGCATCGACAAGAAATTTTTCACCACGAGGGGGCGCTACCGAGTTAAGCGACCAAATCAAGCACAATGCAGCGATAGCTTAGCAATGTGCCGATCCAATAGGTGGCACCACCAAGCTTAACGAAGCACTAACATACCAGATGGCGCCACTCATCCTAATGTTGATTAATCAGGTGGCGCCACTAAAGCTCAACGTTTCTACCTCTCAGGTGAGAGAAACCGAGCTTAGCGACACGCTGATATTAAAACTAGGTGGCGCCACGTGGTCTAGCATCGCACTATACATGAATGTAGGTGGCGCTTACTGCAGTCTAGTTCGTCAGAGTTGTCGCCACAGTCGTTATCGCCGTCACACACCCACGTCTGGCGGATGCACTTGCCATTGAAGCAATTGAAGTGGTCCGATGCACACGTAGGAAGCTCTGCAAGCAGCAAGCACAGCAAGCTCGTTAGCGCTAATTAACGATTGGCTCGTCAACGCCAGCTACCACGCTACCCCCAAGAAATCGCCACGTGGTTAAAGTTAAGTAATAGCTACTCGCTTGATGTTACCTCAGTAATATTAACTAATCATTACCTGGTTAATGTTAGTAAATGATTACCTCAGTAATATTAACTAATGGTTACCTGGTTAATAAACTTGTTAATACTGTTAGTTACTAGCTATAAATGACAGCTTAGTTAATCGATGACATCGTTCGTTAGCAGGAGTTAACGAGCACATCGGTAGCGGGAGTTAACGAGCACATCGTTAGCGGGAGTTAACGAGCACATCAGTAGCGGGAGTTAACGAGCACATCGGTAGCGGGAGTTAACGAGCACATCGTTAGCGGGAGTTAACGAGCACATCGGTAGCGGGAGTTAACGAGCACATCGTTAGTGGGAGTTAACGAGCACATCGTTAGCGTGAGTTAACGAGCACATCGTTAGCGGGAGTTAACGAGCACATCGTTAGCGGGAGTTAACGAGCACATCGTTAGCGGGAGTTAACGAGCACATCGTTAGCGGGAGTTAACGAGCACATCGTTAGC